CCCAGGTTCACAGACAGCCATGATGGACCGGAGCAGGACACTCACCTGCGTGAACCCTGGATCTCTCTGCCTGTCTCAGCAAACACACCCTATACCGCCTTAGCAAGATGGAGCAATCCCCACCCACAACGTGCAAATTGAGAGAACAATGCTCTCTTTCAGCCACCTCTGAACATGCCCCCCCCTCATTTTTGCAGAAAATGTGACTGCTGTTGGACAAGGAAAACACTCTACACAGCCAAGATGCTGTAAAATGCTTGAAGGGAGACAGATGGGGTCTAAGGATGGGATTCTCACACATCAGGGTACATCAATCTCCAGTTCTAGCATATTTATTACCTATGTTGTCCCCCCCCCCCAAGTTGGACTGAAACAGAAATGGGCCCACTGATGGAACCTGGTATTTTTGGCCACTGTGTGAGTGTTGGACTGGATGGGCCTTTGGCCTGATCCAACATTGGCTTCTCTTATGTTCTTATGTTAAAAAAAATAAGCGTCCTCACTATTTTGCACGCTAATTTAACAAACCACTCCTATATATACAACCATGATATGCAATTCCATTTCATTGTCTTGACAAAGCGTCCGTGCACGTGAAAGCTCACTTCTCAAAACTTGGTCTTAAACTTTGTGCTCTTGGAACAGTGAGCGATGACGGGGAGGACTCCAAGAGCCCACCTGGATACTGAACTTGTGTACAAATGAAGACTCTGTTAAGGTCAGGGGTAATTTGCCGCCAAGATAAAAACTTGGAAGATATGACCAGCTGTATTTTGGCATAAAGTGCCCTCTACTGGGAGAAAGGAGGCATGCACCCCCCCCCCCCCATCTTTTATCTGAAGAATCCTCCTTTTAAAAAGGCAAGGATCCCATGGCATCTTAAACACAACTCATGGTCAGTGGCAGTGCTGGCCTTGAAAGACCCACATGCAAACGACCACTGAACCCCAGAATTCAAAGTGTGTGCTTTTGGACCAATCCCTCTCTGCCTAGCGTGGGATAAATGTACTGTTTAATGCACCTACTTCCTCAAGCACCGCAAAGTGAATTCTCCACCTAGCATGGGATAAATGTACTGTTTAATGCACCTGCTTTCTCAAGCACCGCAAAGTGAATTCTCGTCTGCAAGATTCTCACAGAGGTCCTCGTCCGCCCCCCCCCCCCTTGGCTGAAATGTTCTGACATGGTTGACTCCTACTAGGTTGTGACAAACACAAAACAGTTCTCACAATCCAGGGCTTGGATCTGAGATGTTAAATCACAAAATCCAAGCTGACACCCAAGACCCTGAGCCCCTAACAAGGAGCAACTGGAGTTGGGGGGAGAGGACCACCCACTTCTCACCACAATCCCCACCCAACAAAGCATCATTGAAACCGCCCGTCCCCAGTAGAAAAGAGCAAGAGTCCAGTTGCACCTTAAAGACAAACGGAATTTATGCCGGGGGATGTACTTTGAGCCCCCTGCCACAAATTTTGTGTCCTTTAAGGTGCTACTGGACTCTTGGCTCTTTTCCACTGCTACAAACCCAGCTACCCATCTTGATCTTCCCCCAGTGGTCACTCACAGCTGGAGGCTCTGTTTCTGGCTGCCCTCCAACAGAGGCATTTCCTGCTCTCTTCCTTTCCAGCACAAGACGTAAGGGGGAAGGCTTAGCCTGCAGAGCAGCAGCTGCTGCAGCAGTGTTGTTGAATCGCCAACTGCACAGCAGCTATGAGGATTCCAGATTTTTAGATAACTGCACCCAGAGGCTCCCCCTCATTGCTTACAGGCCACAGGGTGGCAGTTTTAGTCTCCACCTCCCCAGGACATTGCCATTAGCAGTTTTCAATTCAGAAGGTCTTTGCAACAGAGACAACCCGGCACATTTCTGCACCTGGGGGGGATCAGGCTGCTGACACACATGAAGGTTTCTTCGGGCACCTTTGTGCCCAATGGATGTCAGGCTATGTGTCAAATATACACTATGATCCAGAAGCAAACAATACTCTCCCGTCACTGACTCCCCCTACAGACAGAAGGATGCCTTTGGATTCCAGCTGCCTGGCTCACGCACAGCCGTATCTAGCCATACAGGTCACACTCTGGGAAAATAAACTGAACAAAATGCTCCAAACACCATTTCTAATTCAGCTTTAAGACCTGTAGTCTAAGAGCATCATTTTTAAAGGATCCCAGTTGATCAGAGACCATTAAGATCTCTGTGGGGAGTGTTCCATTTGCAGTCTTGTGATTTTTGGGAATAAAAGTCAGGGCTGAAGCTCCCTGGCCCTCTGCCCTAATAGCCACAGCTGCCATTTCCTGGTAAAAACAGAATGTGACCGAAACCTCCTCTCTAAATCCAGAAAAGCAGCAACAGGACCAATGAACGTACCTAAAGATCTACTACCCAAGTGATTCATTTCCTTTCCATCGAGACCTCTCCACACCTGCCTCTACCCCACCCCAACTGGCATCAACTTTCAAGCTGGTTTCCAGGGCAGAGCACAGTTGGAAGACTATCACCAGCTAGCCCAATGGTTTCAGTGGGGTGGGGACACCAAAGCCTTTTCATATTCGGGCTCAAACCACTTAGATGCCAGGCATATTCAGTAACTTCGTCTGCTTGAACTCCAAAAGCCATGGCAAGGCCATTAGAATGTTACCAAAACATCTCTACATCCAGAAAAGCTGCAACAGGGCCAATGTGTACCTAAAGATCTACTACCCAAGTGATTAACATAAGAACATAAGAGATGCCAATGTTGGATCAGGCCAAAGGCCCATCCAGTCCAACACTCTGTCATACAGAATTCCATCTTCTTTTTTTACTGCCAGTGCTGAGGTGAGATTTTAAATAGTGGCCCTTGAAGTCCTTTTTATAAATTATAATTGTTTTGTTTATACTGTAGGACACTGTATTCCAAGACAGGTAGCTTATAATTTTTGTTAAACTTTGCCCACAGACACAACCAGAACTTTTCACCCAAAGGTGCTCTTCCATCTCTACTGAACAAAATTTGAGTCCAATAGCTGCTTTAAGATCTACAGTTTACTTCTGGGTATAAGCTTTCATGTGCCTGCCCAGAATTAAGCTTTGTTGGTCTTAAAAATGCCACTGGACTCAAACTTTGTTGTTACTACAGATTGACATGGCCACCCACCTGAATCTATTTCCATTTGTACTGTCCACCACCACCATATACTATGTACAAAATAGAAAAAGACCTGCCTCAATAAAATTGAACAAAAAATACGAGCTCCATTTTTCTAGTTCTTACGTAAGACTGGCTTCAGAAGCAATACTTCTAGGCTTTACAGGATTAACAAGATTTCTCCATTTAAACTACATTGCTCTCTAGATGCCGTTTTTGTTGGGCTCTCAATTAACAATTTTTATGAGCCCCCTCGCCTATTACTAAAAGCACACAGGGGGCAAGGCCTCAGGAGGTAGCCGACCCAACAGTGCTTCTTTCCGAGCAGGAAGTTATCAACCTCTCTGGTGCTTGTTTTCTCTGCAAGTTATGTTTCTGTAGCATGCTTGGCTGGTCCACTGCAGCCAGGCAGCAATAATCCAATTCCAAACCTAGGATTAAACTAACCCTTCCCCCGCCCCCACAGCTCCCCAAAGGACCTGGGGGCACTTGATACCCAGTCTGCTTCTGAATATGCCCTCAAATGCATTATCCAATGCTTCTTGTGGTACTGGTCTACTTTCTCAGACTTGCAATTTCTGGAGAGGCCTCAACTCTAGAGCACACACAGGACATCCCAAAGGCTCCCAGTTCCAGCTCATGCTTTACCCAGGTGAAAGGATTTCTGGTGGTGTGACTAGGTCAAGGCCTTAAATCCACTGACAAACACTGGGATGGATGGACCAACCCTTGGTGGCTATGCAACAAATCTCATATGCTCAAGGTTGTAGTTTTGTGCACAGTTGCCTGGAAGGAAGGCCCATTTAGCTCACCAGGGCTTCTGAGTAAACATGCAGATGAACACTAATTAGCATCACTGAAACTTCCTTGGTTTGTTCAAATCTTTTCAGCAGAAAGATAACTTGCATACCTCACAGCTTAAGGAAGTATCCACAGGGAAGGGAGCCCAAACAAGGTATTTCCAACATGCAGAAAAGCCTGACCGAGCAGTTCGATGCCTCTTGCAGCAAAGCTGTCAGTGCACCACAGGGACCCCCCCCCCCCCCGGCTTAGAAGTATCAACAGGGAAGGGAGCCCAAACAAGGTATTTCCAACATGCCGAAAAGCCTGACGGAGCCGTTCGATGCCTCTTGCAGCAAAGCTGCCAGTGCACCACAGGGACCCCCCCCCCCAGGCTTAGAAGGCACCTGCCTGATGAGACCTTTTTAAGTACTGCCTACATAGCTAGGGGCAAGCCTACAGTGATGAGGTGCAAACCACCTAGCAAGCCAGGGCATGATGGGGGTTGAGAGCCCTCATTTGCCAGCTTTTTTAGTATGCCTGTTTATTACTATCTTGTTCCAATACTACCTTGAAAAATTACTCCCAAGCACATCCATTTTCCCCAAAAACTTGAGAATACTGGTGACAGTTCACTTCAACTCCACAACTTGGATGCAAACAAGGAAGCTGTGCTCCATTCTTAACCTTATTAGACTGGATGGGGTTGTGTGTGTAGAACGGATGCCCATGAAGAGCAGAATGCATTCTATGATGTTCTCAGCTACCCCTTCTAGAAACCAAGTTTCTCCCAGAACACTAAACCCCCAAGCACTAAAGAATCTCAGTATGGAGAACATTTGTGGTGCTGAGAGAAAACGATCAGTGATCCAATTCTTCCTGAAGGTGGTCTTCATTTGCTTGCAGTCATAGCTCCTACATTCATTAACCACAGTAGATTTGTTTCATAATGTGGTGCAAGTTGGCTTTCTACTAGCCAAGCTATAACCCTTGAGCACTGGGGGAATCTCTAGCAGCTTAACACATCCCACTATGCCTTCTACTACCACAAGTGTATAGGCAAAAAAGTCAACTACGTTTTAGCCCCATGTTTATTTATTAACTTGGCACTTTTCCACTTGACCAGTGAATCCAAAAATACACAGTCCCCTGGACTTTCCTGGATTGGCGCCGTGGCCATCCATCCACCTCGGCTTCCTTGCAAGCAGCTCAGGGCTGAAAGAAAGAAGCAAAAGTTAAAACAGAAGTGGGCACAAGCAGGCACCTGCCATTAGAATTCAACAAACTCTTAAACTGGAAGCTTCAGGATAGTTTTAACAGTTAAAGCCATGGGAACGTGAACTACTTCCTCAGTGCTTTTCAGACATAGAAGGCTTTTTTTATCTATAACATTTTATCCTACCCTTTCTCAAGGCAACATACATGGTTCCCACTGCTGAGGTAGGTTGACTGAGTTCACCCAGGAAGCCTGGTTCAGTACTCTGAACACCACATCACAACTGGTTCTCTCGAGAAGCTCAGTACCTGCTTCCAAAGCTGAAGGTCTACTATGGTCCCAAAGGTTGGTCATCAGGCTCAAAAATCAGTTCTCAGTTACCCTCTCTCTCTTCAACCTGCCAAGACAAACAGATGTTACAAAAAGCCATGCCCGTCACTGAAAAGCTGTGCTTTCTACATCCCCCTCCCCTACATAGAACCACCAGTTTTCTACAAAGGGCTTCCACAAGCCATCTATGGAACCCGACGGCAAATCAAAAGCCCTGTGTGGGCTAGCTATTCCAAAAATGAATAAATGCCTCTCAGGTGGGCCGACAGCACCCTGAACCCACACTATGGTTACTTGAGAACAGTGTGGGCCTATGGGATAAAGTTAATGGCAAAAAACATTCCAGTTAACATGACTTCAATGAAGTCTTAAGGTAGTGTCTCCAGAGATAAGTATAATCACATGGGGGGATATTCACTTCCCATCTTAAGATGGCTGTATACACCCCTTCTGACCCGTCAAATTTGTGCCACAAGCCAAAGACTCTAACAGGGAAAAAGTTTTAAAAGGTGTTTTTAGCTGACCAGAATTGGCAGAGGTAATCTACTTCACATGGGTTAACATTCAGACTTTCCAAAAAAAATGAGCTCTCAACAGGAGGAAGGATGCGGACATGAGCAAAAGAGTTACCTCGAATTACAGGACTATCCCCAATATGAACTAGCCAAGAGAGCAGCTTTCGGTCTCAGAGGTTCTCTCTGTTGGAGGCACAACACTTCTTTTTCGCCAAGGCACTGCAGTTTTCCATACGCTAGCAGAGAATTCTTAGAACTTAGAAGGCAACGACAAAGCTAGCTAAATTAGGTCACAGTTATCTGCCTTGGAACACGGTCACACTAGCAGCAGCTGACCCAGTCAATGAGAGACTATTTCAAATTCTAAAGTAACATCTGGCTGGCTTTCAGCTTAGCAAACTGTCAGCTGGCTCTTGCTTGTGCTACTACGGAGCTATTGCTACCTCAAGCTCATTAATCTAGACAGTTACGGAGCACATTACTAAGGACAGCAGTGACATCGCCAATGTTAATTTCAAAGGTTGGATTACTTCCAGCCAAAATTAATTGGTCCCATTAAGAGCAGGGGAATTTACTACCTTTAAGACTTGTTTCTATCCACCAAAAGGTGACCAGTTTCTAACTATGTCTTAGAAACTACATCAGAACTGGTACTAAAGGTTTAACTAACACTGATCTACTAGGTGTCACTGATGCTTGTCTATCTAGCTATTCCTAACACAAGTTACTCACTGTGCTGCTTGTCCTTTAAACTATAACTGTACACTTTTTAATTATCATCCAGAATTGTGTTGTGCAGCAAGATGTAAGATTTCAAGAGCAGATTTTGTTTCAGATGGACTTTTAATAGGCTTCGTGAAGCCAAAGGAAAACTGTACAAGAAATCCTTTTACCACTTCAAAATTACAACATCAATGGAATTAGGCATACTTTCTTTCCAGTAAAAAAAGATCATTATAAACAAACAATTTTTTCATGAACCTCTTGTGAAGTAAGATTTGCAGATCTCTGGGTAAGTTTTATGGCATACAAGTAAAAGTCTTAATGCAGGTTGAACATACAAGCAATATCTCTTTAGATATATCAAGGTGGTTTTGCTTTTAAATTCATACCCAGGCTGCAATACCTACCTTGCTACACTAAAGGAATGTTACAAAACGATGTACTAAAAACAAAAATGAGATCACAGCTTGGTCAGCTTCTACTTAAGAATTAAGGTCCCTCCTCACTCAGAACAGAAATGGGGCCCCAAAACCTTCCAAGTCTTTTTTTTTAAAAAAAACTCAACACCTTGGCTCATAAAGAACTAAAATCTTAAGTGCTTTAAAAGTTAAAACACTTGAGAAAAAAAACCCAGAGCTTTGAGTCTCAACAGACCATCACATATTAGAAGCTGTCAAGGCTGTGTTTTTGACAAGGTCAGAACTGAGTTTTACTACAAAAGTGAGAATACAAAGGAGATGGACTACACAAGAACGTTTTCAGCGAAGCTCCAAAAATCTTTATAAATACAGCCATTGGAAGGACGATCTTGAGTCAGGAAGGTTTTTTACTCGTTGTGTGTAGCTGAGGACAAGAAGCAGGCACAATTGTAAAGGCACTGAAGCATAGAAAAGTTCCAGCATTTTTCTCTCCCCTACTCACTTCCTAAAAGCTAGCTAGTCCTTTTGACCCCACCCCTTCACGTTTAAAAGTCTTGCCTCTGGACTTTTGGGAATGATTCCTGGTACAACTGCCAGCTTCAGAAATGCTAGTAATGTTTCGACTTGGATTGCCTTTTGGGTCCGACTAACGCTACACATGCATTACGGGTGTTTTGCTTTTTGGTGACACAAACGCCTGAAGGCCTGCCAAAAAAGCAGCACTTTCATAGGCAATTTTTTTTCCAGCACTGTGCTCCAAGTGAGCTTTTTGTTATTTTCCAAGTTACCACTGCAAGGCGAGAAAGAGGCTCCAACCAATCCCGTGACAGTGTATCCTCCGTCTCCTTGTGATCTATGACTTACCATAACTGTCGTAGCTGTCTCTATAGGACCCTCCGGAAGGCCTGTCACCATAGCTGCCTTGACTCCGGCTGCAGAACACATGGAAAACAAAGCCGTTTCAACCGAAAAGCGCATTCGCAAGTACAACATGCAACCATAACGATTCCTTTTCAACCCTTCCAACGTAACAAACTAAGATTCACACAGTCGCTTACCTGCTACCATAGTAGTCCCTGGACCCACTGTATCCTCCACTTCTGGATTCAAATCTGCTGCCCCCATAGCCTCTGTCTCCACCAGCGCCTGGAAAAGGACACAAGCAGGAAAATGCAAAATGTTGCCAGCTTGTTTGCCATCAAAGCAACAAGGAGAAATTGCTCAAGAAAACCTGCTCACCTCTGGAGAAGCCACGGCCCCGACCTCTGCCACCACGGAAAAAGCCTCTGCCACCAGCTGATCCCCCTCTGTAGCCACGGGATCTGTTGTCTGATGATTTGCCTGCTTGATCTACCCTGATCTGGCGGCCATCAACAGACTGAAAAGCATCAACAGGAGCATTAATACTGTTGCTTAAAGAACAAGAACACACAAACCACTGCAACATCCACACACACACCAAAAATCTCACTGAACTTTTATCAGTACCTATTGTTATGGGTAAGACAATACACCCAAACTGTAGGGCCGCTGCACAGAAAGAAAGATGCTTTGCACTTCAATATAATAACATAACAAGCACATTCTCTTTCAGCTGCCCAAGCCTAACTCTGACACCTGTAACAACTTCTGGTACTGAGTGCCTTACCTTTCCATTCATGGCCATCATTGCATCTTTTGCGTCATCAATGTTCTCAAAAGTGACAAATCCAAATCCTCTAGATCTCTGGGTTTCTCTGTCTTTTACAACAACAACTGGAACAAAAGCATAAAAGCTGTTTAAAGCATCTTTATACAAAAGGAGACCAGCAGAACAGTGCACTCTCAAGGACTTCTGCTTGAGATGGAGAAAACAGTCATGGTGGTATTTGATGCCCCTTCTGAGCTTTCAGAAACCCCGACAATCAATGGAATTTAAGCATATATTTTTACCTTCAGATATCTGTCCGTATTTAGAGAAGACCTGCTCCAACGACTGTTCATTGGTGTCAAAACTGAGCCCACCGACAAAGAGTTTTCCATCATCTGATGCCATTTTGTTCTGTGAGCAAAAACACCAAATTCAGTATTTACCAAAAAGTCCTTTGGAAAAAAGCAAACCTCGCAGCATAAGCTTTAGTTCACCTGGTGAAAGACTGCTACACTTTCATCCCTTTTTGACAACCAGAAGCCATCAAAATTGTTTTCTCTACTATCAAAACAAAGGGCCCTGCATAATGAGGCCATGGATCTGGAAGGATTAAGGATTTAGGCTTTCAAAGAGCTTAACAGCTGCTTTGCACAAATTGCTTACCCCTCCGAGTTTAGAAAAGCCCAGAAGAAGAGAGGAAACTCTCACACACTAAATCAATTTAATATTTGACAGAGGCAACGCCTAACCCATTTTGCAGTGTTTGCCCCATTGGGCTACCTGGTTTCATTTAACACTTTTCCCCAAAGGAAGCACACTAGTGAGCTCAATGTTATCAAATGCCATTTTCAATCCAATCACCTCTCTAAAACGTGCCTTAAGATTCTGTCTGTTATAAAAACTAGAAACCTGTTTCAAGAATAATGTAATATTACATTTCATCAGCCTCATAAGGTGAAGCCAAAAAACACAGAAAACAATTCTATCAGTAGACCAGTCAACACGCCTTCCGAGAAAAAAGATATTTTCCCTATAGGCATCACTCAACCATCCACCCCTCCCTCAGCAACGGGAATAAAGCTCCTTCTGCGCGCATGCGCGCCCCACTCATCAGTTCAGTCAGTTTGCCTGCAGAGGGCGCCCAATACAATCCACACGATACTCTAGAGCGCATGCGCGAGCAAATGCCAGCCATCACCCGACTTTCCTCTGCCGCCATTTTAAGACTACAGCTCAAGAAGCGACAGGAAGCCATTTTGATTTTAAGAGTGGTGTCGCCGGCCGGCAGGCCCCCTTCCCTCAGTTCATTTTTAAAAAACGTCTCGAATTAACACAAAAATAGAAAGCGCCGCAATTTACCGCATTTAGATACCACCCGGTTCACTTTAACGACCAACCACCCTCTGCTCTCCCCACTGTCCCCTTCCGTCTTCTCGCACGTCCCTGCCATCCCCCCACCCGACTTACCGGCTTCTGTGTTATAGTGCGCGACCACACTCTTCAAAGTCTCCGCACGAACAACGCAACGGTTTCCCTGCGCTAGCGCTTATATACCCCCACATAAGCTCCGCCCACCTCATGAACGTGCTCGGCTTTGTAAATAGCGGCCCCACCTCCTGGGAGCATGAGGTAATCCCCGACGGGCCCCTTCCATTGGTCGGGACCTGATTAATATGCATGAAGAGAGGTGGTGTGAGGGGAAGGCGCTTCAACGGAGGACCGGCCTCCAGTGGCCCCTTTCTATTTCCATCATCACGGGGCATACTGAAGAAAGAAGGGATTGGGTGACATGCGGGTAATAGAATATGGTTGCTTAGGGAAACAAGCCGCTGCTCCTTGCTCGAGAGAGCTGATTGGCGGACTGCCTTCTTCCCCCCACCCTCTCCCGGCTCCACCCCCAAAGTCTCCAGGTATTTCCCAACCCGGACCTGGCAACCCTAGTTGGGGTCCAGTGGTGCTTTAAAGAGCAACAAAGTTTAACTCTGGGTATCGGGTGCATACACCCACAAAAGTTTAACTCTGGGTATCGGCTTTCGGGTGTATGCACCCACAAAAGTTTAATTCTGGGCAGTGTTCCCTCTAAGCTGAGTTCGTGTGAGCTAGCTCACAGTTTTTTAACCTCCAGCTCACACATTTTTGTCAGCTTGGGAAGAATGGCTCCAGAGCAAACTAATTTATGCAGTAGCCAAATTGTTCGCTCACAACTTTAATGCCAGTAACTCACAAAGTACAATTTTAGCTGTGATCATTGCTGCTAACTAGGGGTATTCAGTCCTTACATATGTATTCACAACAAGAAGGACTATGCATCCTCTGTATTTTGACGTCTTTCAGTGTATTTCTTTTTCAGAATAGTACATTACAACACTGAATGTATGCAAGGAATCTTAGGATGTCTGCTGACATAACAGTATTCTTTGGAGGGGGAGGTAATGTCCCTCCATGCCTGACAGGAGAGAATGAAGATTCCCAGTCACATATTTATTGCTTTACAACTGTTGACCCTAAAAGCTTAACTTGTTCTTTAGTGTCACTTTGTATATCTTGATCATCATTGTGTTGCATGTTGATTTGCTGTGCATTCTCTGGCTACAGATTTGAACCTTCCCTGCCATTCTAACGGATTTGATAAAGTGTGCGTGCACACGAAAGCTCACACCTTGAATAAACCTTTGTTGGTCTTCAAGGTGCCCCACTGGATTCTAAATTTGTTCTGCTGCTTCAGACCAACACGGCTGACCAACTGGATCTAGGAATATTCCTAACATTCCAACCCCAAAAGGGGGCATTTTCATCAGTTTTTTAAAAAGAGCCCAAAAGAGGACAGACGCCATAAAAAGATGACACCTGGTGACCCTAACTAATGTGTTTCCCACAATTTTGCATGTTCCAGCCTCAACTAAGCATCCTTGTGGCCTTTTCTTTCTAAATTGCGCTTCCTTCCAAGGAACCTTTTTCGGAGCTTCCACATTCTCGCAAAGCACATTCTTCTCAGACCTCTCAAATGTGTATGTTCAGATATTTTGCTGTCTCCTGCCGCATCTTGTAGATCCCCGCTACAAAATACACAACTCCTTCACATTTTATGTTCCTCTCCTGAGGGAACCTTCCCAAAAGTCCATCCTCACAATCTTTGTGCCCCCTGTTAAGTGTGCCCCCACCAAAACCCAAAAATTGGTCATTTGTACTTTGTAGGCCCTTTACACCCCAAAAGTAAAGGACATCATATAACACCTCCTAAAGCATCTTTATCCACACATATTGTGCCTCTCAAAAGATCCCCTCATATTCGTGTTCCCTTAAGTTCCCCCCATTTTTTGTCCCTTAAGTACGTAAGCCATTGCATACTTTCCCACAATTTCTCTAGTTGCTTGTTTTAAAGATGAGTGCATTTCCCAACATTTTAGTTACCATTTTTCCTAACTCCATTTTTCACTCTGTTGCCTCAGAGACCCTTACAAATTGCCTTAGCAGCCTGTGGGTTCCCACCACACCCCCAAAACATGTACAACTTGCTGTGCTGAGACCCCAAAATATATGGTTGACAATCTCTAGGTGGGGCCTGGAGAACTCCTTGAATTACAATTATTTCCTGCCTACATAGGAGGAAATGGCTACTTCAGAGAGTGAATTCCATGGCATTACACCCCAAAGAGGTCCCTCTGCTCCCCAGACTATGCCCCAAATATCCAGGAATTTCCAACCTCAGAATTGGCAACCTTCCCCCTCCACACAAATGAATCCTTTTCTGGAATGTAGAAACAGGAAGCACGTGGCTCTCATGGCATTTGAGTAACCATGAAAATCCACAAATCATTCATGTTTTAGATCAACTCCAGCAAATTAAACCACAAGATACTGTCCTAGTTGTGTTGTTGTTGTTCAGTTGCACAGTCGAGTCCAACTCTTCGCGACCCCATGGACCAGATCACGCCAGGCCTTCCGGTCTTCCGCCATCCTCTGAAGTTTGCTCAACTTCATGTTCGTTGCATCTATGACACTGTCTAACCTAGCTGTGTAGAGTCAGAAAATATGGATATCCAAGCTCGTGTAATGTAGGCTATGTTATACACACGAGAACATCTTTTGTATCCATGATCAGATACAAGTTAGGACACATTTTTCCTTCAGAGAACTCGATCGGGATGTGTTACAATTATTTCCTGCCTACATAGGAGGAAATGGCTACTTCAGAGAGTGAATTCCATGGCATTACACCCCAAAGAGGTCCCTCTGCTCCCCAGACTATGCCCCGACAATTATTTCCTGCCTACATAGTTCCCCTGGAGGAAATGGCTACTTCGGAGGGTGAATTCCATGGCATTACACCCCAATGAGGTCCCTCTGCTCCCCAGACTATGCCCCAAATATCCAGGAATTTCCAACCTCAGAATTGGCAACCTTCCCCCTCCACACAAATGAATCCTTTTCTGGAATGTAGAAACAGGAAGCACGTGGCTCTCATGGCATTTGAGTAACCATGAAAATCCACAAATCATTCATGTTTTAGATCAACTCCAGCAAATTAAACCACAAGATACTGTCCTAGTTGTGTTGTTGTTGTTCAGTCGCACAGTCGAGTCCGACTCTTCGCGACCCCATGGACCAGATCACGCCAGGCCTTCCAGTCTTCCGCCATCCTCTGAAGTTTGCTCAACTTCATGTTCGTTGCATCTATGACACTGTCTAACCTAGCTGTGTACAGTCAGAAAATATGGATATCCAAGCTCGTGTAATGTAGGCTATGTTATACACACGAGAACATCTTTTGTATCCATGATCAGATACAAGTTAGGACACATTTTTCCTTCAGAGAACTCGATTGGGATGTGTACTTGTGATTCCTGTCTGACATTTATTCCTGTGCATTATCTGTGTGCTCAAGACAGCGTGCCTGTCTTTCCACTTAGGCTGGAGTTACGCGTTAACCTGTGCAGTAAAACGCTTGCAAATATGGCTGCCTTCAGACATCGCTCTGCTTGTCTGCGATGGGCACAATCATGCTCCCCTCCCTCTTCTCATCATCATGTGTGGTGGTGTCTAATCAAAGGCTTCCAGTTTTGGGTATCCTGGCATCGAGTCTGGATTTCCTGTGAGGTCAGAATGGGGAAAATCGGAGGATTCTAAACCTCACTTCAATCCCAGTTTGGTTCGTGGGTGGGAAAAAGACTCCAGTTTTTCTGGCACCTGCATTCATGGGAAGCAGGAGCATGAGGACAGAGTGCCTTTGTGCCTTCAGCAGACAAACCAATGTTTGTTGTGATATCTGAACACAGCCGAAGGAGTTCTTCCCCTCTAAGTCCAATGGGAGATGTAAAACTCTGCTTAAGCTGCACAATTAATATCTAGGATCTCATTTCCATGATTCCAGCAGATCGCTGCCAGGCCTTCTGGCACAATTTGTCCTAGAACAGCCACTCTCAGGGCATTTTGTTATACAGTTCAAAATGAATGTATCATTTTGATCTCCAAAATTCAGGGACCGAAACCTGAGGAATATGTTTTTGAATATGGCGTCCCTGTCCCCGACCTCTTATCCGAAAAGGCAAAACAGAGAAAAATATTTTATCATCGGGACAAAGTAGGGTTGCCAAATGGGGGCGGGGGGCGGGGAAACCTCCGCTTTGGAGGCCCGATTTCCGCCGCGGCAGAATCGGGCCCCAGGGGGAACTCCGTCCCCCAAAGCTGCGTCACCAGAGGTGATGCAGCCACGTTGCTGATGTTGGGGGCGTGGCTGAGCTCATCGGGCCCGGCCACGCCCCCAACGTCAGCAACGTCGCACGTCACTTCCGGTGACGTAGCGGCGGCGCCTGCTCCCGGCCTCGTCGGAGCCTCCCCCGCCAGTAAGTTTGCCAGACTTGGCAACCCTAGGACAAAGTACCAGAGAGCACAGAGGACTCACATTTTGCCCATGTGCGATACACTCTAATTGCTAAAGTGTGGTTAAAATTATGAGAGGTTAATATGCATACAAAAAAATCTGAGGACACACACGACCCAATCAGTTAAACAAGTATAAAGCCAACAGTCGTGATAGTCTGACCCACAATCAAACAGTCCCAAGACTTATAAAGAATGCTGTTTATGTATTGCAATCTAAAGCAGTACAACATAATACACAACTCAATAGAAAATCCTTGAACCAGGGTACATAATCACATAATTAACGTCGTCTCCGGATTACATAATTTGAAATATTTTATATGTGTTCATAACAAAGGTAATATTACTATGTTACAGATTCTTAAGACTTGTTGTCTAACATTTATGAAACTGAGAGCTTTGGCCACCACTATGTAAGTAAGCACTAAGATTATTGTATTGTCTCTTGTTATTGGTGTAGCACATATTTAAAAAATTGTATTTTTGTACACTACAGAATATCTCCTGAAGAAGATCCATTTTTTTGAAACGTTGTTATGTAATCCAGAGACGACGTTGATTATGTGATTATGTACCTTGGTTCAAGGATTTTTCTATTGAGTTGTGTATTATGTTGTAGTGCTTTAGGTTAATATGCATCACATAATATGCATCACATCGA